TGGAAAAATTTTATTAATTAGAATTAATTTTCACAAAAAAAAAAAAAAAAAAAAAAACATATTTCTTCTGTTTTTGCTTATTTTTGTCATATTGAAATATTTCAGATCAATACTCAAATTTTATTCTTACAGAGTAAAATAAAATCAAGTTTTCAATCAATGATTGAATTTATTAAAGCTGCAGTTTGTCACTTATAAATTTTTTTTTATTTTTTTACATATTTGTTAAAACTATCATTATATTGTGACATTATTATAGAAAACAGATCACCTGTGAAATTTGTGTCTCTGCCATCTGCAAAAATATCAGTCACAAACGACCACTCAGACCCAGGGGGAGGGTCTTAGTGCTGTCAATCCTCCTCATGCATGGGCATAAATAAATTATTTTTTATGTAGAAATCATATACCAGTCAATCAAGTTTATTTGTGTAGCACATTCCAGCAACAAGGGAGTTCAAAACATCATAAAAACAAAAACACAAAGTCATAAACACACAGTCAACAACTGAAACTTTACATTTTGCCAAGTGCTGAGGATGACACAAAACAACATTGGCCCTACTTCTTTCACTTTCGGTCAGCTTAATATGGACAGCTTTTTCCCGCTTACCAGATAAAATAATCTCTTAAAAACTGGACTAAATTTTTCCTTGGGTTATCTTTGAATAATATTCAAACATGTCTGATGATCTGAAACATTTCAGTGTGACAAAAAAAAAAGCAACAGAAGAAATGTGTATGGAGACGTACATGTAAAATATAATGAATATATATGTTGGAATGCTATTGTGCCCTATTTATTCATTTCTAAATGAAAAAGTGTTTTCTTTGATATATTTGAAACAAACCAAAAGTGGAAGCTCTTTACCTAAAATTGCAGGCGGTGGTGAGTTCTGCACCTCCTCCCAAGGCTCTGCCCTCCACCAGGGCAACAGAGACCAGGGGCAGCCTGCAATGAGAACACTACTCTGTCAGCACACATGAGAAACAGCGCCTTGAAGGAATCCCCACGGCATGACGCTGCCACCACCATGCATCACTGAATAGTAGCATTTAGCATTTAACTTAAACTTTGATGAAAATGGGCCAAATCTGTGGTGATTAGTAAGGTAGTAAAACATGCATTTGCTCTGCAACTCTGAAAATATTTCCTTCGAAGCTTAAGAATCGGCTAAAGATGAACCCGGACTATGCCCACTCTTAAATATTGTAATTGTTTTGAGTCAAATAAACAGTAAAATAAAATAAAAGATGTTTATTGCTTCATTTGCAGCTTGCAAAACTTGAGCGTTTACCTGAGTAGTCTTGTGAGAGCGTCCTGCATGAACATGCACATTTTCATCCCGTCCTATGAGGGAAGAAGGGACTCATTCAGATGTGTCCAGATGGCCAAAACAAAGCAGCCGGTCAGAGGTACCTGGGGGCTGGATATTGCTCGGACTGCGTTGAGGTCGGACCCGGAGCAGAATGTCTCGGCAGCGCCCCGAACGACGAGGCCTTTACCTTCAGTCCAGCTTTCCAGCTGGCTCACCTTCTCCTCCAGGTCCACCATCATGCTGCCTGGCAGGAGGAACAAAACCCAAAACATCAGACTGGACCGTAAAGACTACGACTTGAAACAGCACACTAAACTAGGGCTGAAAAAAAAATGGATTATTGAAATGACTGTCATTTAATTTAGCAATCGATTAATTGTTAATTGGACTAAAAAAATTGCCATTTTCTGAAAATTCAGAGCACTAATTAATTATGTACATTTTGCATATAATAAATACAACTTCTCACTCCTCAAGTGGCATAATTATAGCTTCATCTGGTTCAATTATGTAAAAAAAATAATTATAGCAATCTCCTATTAAGCGCCTTTTGCTCGCCAATTATTATCAAGTAATAAAAAAAAATCAACACATCAACCCTACACTGTATTGATAAGTTAAGCAGAATGTGCCTTTTTTACCTGATTAATCGATAGAATAACTGATAGATTAAACGATTTCCACCCAACATTTAAGTGATGGTACCGGAGAAGGCGTTCATGCGAGCGGGGTTGTTGATGGTCAGCACAGCGACGCCGGAGTCCTGCTTCAGCAGGTCGACGGAGCCTCCAGGGAAGGCCCGCAGCTTCTGTCTGGTCTCCTCCTGGTTGAAGCCATGGGTGCTGGAGTAAAGGCAGCGGCGGCGGCGGCTCGATGTCTGCAGCCTGCGGGGACAGAGAGGCGCCATTTAAACCCTCACTTGTCCCGACAGAAACACGCTTCAAAGCTACATTCATTGACAACAAACCAACAAGGACAGGAGTGCGTGTTAGTTTGAGTGGTAGGCATAAGATGGCTATGAAAATCGCTGAATTGTAGCTTTTTCCTCCCCGGGGGAGAATGGATTTTCTGTACAAATTACGGGTTAAGAAGGTGAACAGCTGAGCTGGTTTACTTCATTACCTGGCCATGAAAACACAACAGCTGCTGCTGCTCCTCAGGAGCTGTCTGTTCAGGGCACAGAGGACCATGATGCTGCTGATGACTGAAGAGGGAGAAAAAGTCGTTTACCTGCAGCATCACTTTCACAAAAACATCAAGTTGAAACAGGTGATATGAGCAATTAGATTTTTATTTGGGTTTTATATTGTCGTTTTAAAATGTAGTGTACATAGGTTATGGTGGCTTACTCAGAGAAACTGATGCTAATGTACGGTAATGTTTGCATTTTTAATTCTGAAAAATGCTAAAAATGCCGTTTTTACTCTCCTTTAAATTAATGGGTATCACAGAGATTTGTGTTTCACCTTTCACACAAAAGACAGAACACTGAGGTTTGTGGTTGTAACTTGGCAAAAGGTGAAGGCATTCACACAAATGATGAGAGAGAAGTGAACCGATAAATACTTTTAAAATTTGAATGTAGCAAAAAAGAATCGCATAGAAATTATCCACAATGTCACTACACAGTCAAACAAAGGGTGCAGAGGAAAACCGAAGCCACCCAAATAATAATTATGTAAATTCTCCGCACCAACCTTGTACAGCCGTGTGGTGTCGCCGTTAAATCTGCACCACTAGGAACAAGAGCTAGAGGGAAACGAGGCCCGCTTGGGCGTCGGTGTATTTAGTTTTCAAATTCCGCCACACGATGGCGCCCCACAGCGGATTTTAAATCGCTCTTGTGGAAGTAAAATCAAAATGACCCCTGTTTTTTTATTTGATTTACAAATAAAAGCCTGCAGTGGTATTCACCTAACACGAGTTAATACTTTTACCTGTGGTTTTGTAACACAATTAAAATTCTCTTCATCTGACAAGAGAGTTAACTGTCTTCCACGTTTTCTCTGCTCCTATAAGATAGATTTGTTTTTTCTCCTGAGCTACAGAACAGTGGGCCTCTTTGATCTTTCACATGAACATTGAGTATATGATAGGAGAAGTCGCTTCTTTTCACAGTAAGTAATTTGTTGGTAAGTCTTTGTGTCACTTTAACATTCTTTGCATATAAGAAAGTAGATTTTATATGGGCAAAAATCAACCAGATTGTTTGGAAATGACAAAAAAAGTGAAAATGAGTGGGAAACATGTCTGCCTCCTGTGTTCTGATTTATGTCTTCTGATGCATAAATCTTTTCCTTCCATCCACACTTCCTCTGTTGCTTTTTAAAAACCCTCATAAATCACAGACAAGTAAAGTAAAAAAAAAAAAAAAAAAAAAAAAAAAAGCTTTTTCTTTACTTTTTGGCACTCAGATAACTCTGCATAACTTCTATCACATTTGATGTTGTGTTTGGAGGGTGCGGGGGTGAAGGTGCACTATTTCTGCAGTGCAAACATAAAAGGTAATCAACAAGGTGCCTTTGCATTGTATCCAAGGCTACAACAGGGTGAGCTCTGTTTGACAGTCAACACGTCTCTGGTCTATTTAAAAGTGGGGAAGGAATTCAGAAAGGTTAGTTGGGATGTTCCCAGACGGGCTGTCTCCCCTTCCGACTCTAGACATTCAGCTCAGACATCTAGCCTGCAACGCATTTATGCGTATTACTCCGCTAGATGCTGAAGCTGCAGGATCCAGTGGCGTTGTGATGTCTGCATGATGCACAGTCTGTACAAGCCGCATTGGAGATGGGCGGGACAGACTGACAGACTTTCCTGTGTCTAACTGCGGCTTGGATTTCAGTGCTGCAGCTGCAGACTGATAATTCAGCCGCTAATGGAGGACTGTCTGAGACTGCAGCTTGGCAAAGTGGAAGATGCAGAGGAAGAGCTACACATGCATGCCCAAGTGCTGCCCCATGTACGACCGTATGTGACTGCGAGTGCGTTGTACGCGGTCAGTAAAGTGATGCACAATGTGCCGATCAATAAGGAGCTGTCCTTCACAGGAAGTGTGGCAATGTGCTGCAGTCAGCCTGGTTTTAAAAGCAGCTCTGAGATGAGATACGTCACGCACATTGAGAACTTAGTTTATTTACCTAAGGCAAAATCACCTCAAAAATATATTTTAAAAAAATTCTAATTTTTTACTGTGGCGTAGTCAGTAGAACTGCTATCTTGATGCAAGAAGGCCTCATTTCAACAGAGCATCTCTGAACATGCAATTTCCTTTAGACTGGTTTCACTGCAGCTTTGTAAATGGAAAAGTCAAGATAGACCTGAGTGCATAGGGAATGGATCAATTTATGAATGAGACTGCATCTTTTGAATTATTGATAGCCAAATTAAATGACTAACAAGAATCATACAAGCTTGTCTGGAGTATGTTCTTTTTCTATATAAAATAAGTATAGTTTTTGTGGAGTATACAGAAATTATGCAAATTTATGATCATATATGTTGTGTGTGATCTTTAAAAATCAAATGAACTTTTAAATATATATATAAAAACTGAGCAAATCCAAGATGGTGGAACAAGAGACTGACATTGTCGATGTGCAGATTAAAATTGCTGCAGCAGTGGGATGCTATTCTCACTATAGACAAATATCTATTAAAAAAAAACATCTCCATCTTGTTGAATTTATGTCATTTATTAAGGTAGTTCTAAAGACAAAAACTGACTTTAGTTGTACCTAAAAAAGAAGTGGCTGGTTAGTGTACAAGGTTTTTTTTCAAATAAACTATGAGCCACAAGGTGGTTCTAGTTTAGAGCAAAACCACTGTCCAGTTGGCAGGAAGCATATAGCGACGCTACCAAGCCATCTTGGAAAAGTGAAATCCGTACTTTTACTGTCACCGGTATGATTGTGATCAGCTGGACAAACACTGCTGACCCCACAGATTAAAATCAGGAATAGTGGCACGGTTTATTATTCCAACAGCAAAAATGATCCTGCAGTAGCGTTTGCTTCCACGCTGTGTCTAGAAAATAAGCCACCGCTGTCACTCTGCTGGGCTGATCAAACGCAGATCGCTGCAGAAATTCTTTCCAGTGCTGTGATTTTAAGCAGCTCTAGCCTGCAGGCAGTCAGCGCTGGTTATATAATGGTCGCTCCATCTGGAGACCTCCAGACAACCAGCACAGGTCTTTACCGGGAATTAACCCTCTTTCCCAACCTTGACACAGAAAAGCAGGATGAGACATTGGGCGCGGAGCTCGGGCGAGCTTCAGGAGAGAATGAAAATATTTTTATATCTATCGGGAGAGGGGTAAGATTTCTGGCTCCACAACACTGCCACACCTGCTATTTCCATCAGCAAAGGGTGCCAGGTTTCAGGGTGAGAGGCGGGGTTGGGTGTCTGTCCCACTCAGGGTAGCGTGTCTCTTTAAATTTATCAACAGTCCTGGAAAAGATGTAATAAAGAAAGCCAAGTGATGATTTATCAGATCAAATGTTAGGCTTTTTTCCACATTTCAGTTTGTCTGATCAGTGTGCAGATATTACTTAGAGGAGGAGATCAGGGTGTCAGCGAAGACATCTGCAAGTTGGTAAAAAAAAAAAAAAAGCAAAGGAAGCCAGACAGTTGTTTGGTTCTGGTTCGTCGGCTGCAGTGTCGCATACAAATCAAATGAGTTTAACGTGAATATTTATGTGAAAGCTGCAAAGTTTAAGAGTGAGATAGCAGTGCACCTCTGCCAAGGGACAATCAGCATAGCATGGTAGACCTCAAGTGACATTAGGAATTAAAACTCAGGCTATTGATTATCACACTTTTAGGTAAAACTACAAAACATTACATAACAACTTAGCATCTTCTCTAAGCATCCCAAACTCCTTCTACTTCCTCCATATTGCAACCACAAGCTTTTATATAGGCAGACATCAGTTTCTAGATGACTCCAAATATCTGCAGCTGTCACTGCAATGAAAGGTGGGATTACAAATGTTCACTTAAGCCACACTTTTCAGATCTTTATTGTTTTGTTTTCTTAAGGTGAAAACCACAAATCAGTTTTTTTTCCAAGTTCCCAGCTACGTTCTACTTTATTTCAGTCTTCTGCTTAAAATCCCAAATAAGATAACATACATTAAAGTTTTGTGGTTTTAACATGGCAAAATGTGAAAAACGTCAAACTGAGGCATTATTGGAATATTGTTTATTATACAAAACCAACAGCAAAGGCATCGTGTTTCACCACCTTTCAGCCATAAAAAAACACTACCTAGCAAAGTAACATCCTCAAACATGAGTATTTAGTTAGAGTAAAAAAAAGGCATTCCTATCTCTTTTTTGGAGCATGTTATGCAAAAAAAAAAAAAAACAGACTTGTAAATGCAGTTTACACACAAACCTTAAAAAAATGTTAGCTATGGCAAAAAAAGATGCATTTTATTCCAAACAATGCACTTAAAAATCAAGAAAATGCACAAGAAACCAGCCTTTGGTACATATTATAAAAAGTCGATTTTTATGCAGCTATTACTAAAAGTAAATGTTTTTTGTTTTTGCTTCACAATAATAAACATAAAGTCAAACTTCAATGAAAAACAAAATATTCTGGTCACAGTCAAGGTACAGTCCAGTCATGTGCTGCAGGGTTACTTTATGGTAGGGATGTCATGTGTGGAGAAATCTTTGCTCCACCTCTCCATGTCTGAGCTGAACGTACTGATGCACACATTTTAATTGAAACTACAGTCTTTTTTTTCTTTTTTTTTCAGGTTGTAAATCCAGTCTGTAGCAGAGATAAATTAGTTAAAAGCTGTTATTAGTAGATTTGTAAAGCTACGCTAGTGGTCAACGCTGGAATCCAGACCTGAGCAGATTATTCATTAGATGCTGTCCGTTACGCCTGGCAGGTTCACTTGGGCCATAATGACGATACTTGTAGCTGTTTGGAGTTATTCACCTTCTTTCATCAGGTATGTTCCACAGGATGCCACAAACACAGTTTGTCGATGAGTACATTCGGAATACATTTTCTGTCCTTCGTATTGATTTGGTGTATACAAGAGGAAAAAAGAAAAAAAAAAAAGAGAGAGGATAAAATGTTCGGAGTTCGTCAGTGAAGGCTTCTGGTTGGTTCCGAAAACACAACAACCTGGAGTTTCAAATGATGGCGGTCTCTATGTGAAAGCCGTGTGTGTAAGTGAAGGAGGAAGAGTGTTTCTGGAGGGGAAAGGAAGCGGGGATGACAGGCGTGGTGCATGGAGAGGACGAGGGAGAGGAGGACGAAGTGGGGGAGCGGCTGGCCCATCTGGAGGGGAGGCGACGGTTGGCAGGACGGGCGGGCCTCGAAAAGTTCTTGTGGACGGAGGGAGGCGTGACCGAGGACTCTTCGTCTTCCTGTAGAGAGGCAGCAGAGTTAGCATTTAGGATTATCCCGCTGTTCCGTCTGCATCCAAGCTGACGCACTCAGTTACTTAACATCACGTGTTCCAGCGGTTGTCTTCTTGAGCCTGGGGAAAATAACGGGCATATTTCAAACAGGAACTCTAAACACATCAGCACGCTCCTGCGTAAAGGTCACACAAGTAGCTCTGATTGATTTGATCCCTAAGGGGGGGGGAGCATTTGAAGTCAAGATAGCTGACATGTGAGGCACTTTTTCCCCTCGTCAACTCTTCTGAATCACCAGCGT